TTGCCTTATTTTGGTTTGAGATTCCTTACAAATTTCTTGTAAATCTTATTGAAAACGTTCTTCGACGATTCCATGTGCAAATATTTTTAAACGAACCGCTTTGAGTTCGTAGCATTATCAGCTGATCTTCATCAGCCAATCAGTAAATAAAGTGTCAAATCCGCGTCAAATGCTCACTTCCTGTCTGCAATGAGATCTTCCGGCACCTCCTCCAGGCGAATTTTTTCATGTTTATATTATTAATAAGTAATCATACGATTTTTCTCGTTCAATTTGGAATTAATTTGCACTTGTGAGTTGTTCAAAAAGCTGAAATTGAAATTTCAGCTTTTTGAACAACTCACTCGTGCAAATTAATTCCAAATTGAACTCGAAACCGTATGATTACCTATACTAATTGGACAGTGTAAGCGTCATGCTTGTAACTGAACAGTATGCGTCATTTTTGCGCGCGCTGTTGCGGTGCTCTTTGAGTAAACCGCTGTGTTTTTCAGCATTCATAACGACGTTTAATCGTTCAGCGCTCAATCGATGGTTTGTTCGTTTCTCGAATTTTGTCATAGTTTTGATTAATCGGTAACAGGGCTTCGCGTTGTCCAATTCAGTCTGTAATCATACTCGTGATAAACAAATCGGACTCCCGCTCCGCGGTCGTCCGATTTTGTTAATCACTCGTATGATTTATACAGACGAATTGAACTCTACTCATCCACTACCATTATTAATTGTTTTTTACTCTATGTTCTGTGCTTTTTCTGCAATTTATGAAAGCTATTTTGAAACGTCCCATGAAATAACAACTTCTAAACAGAACTGATGACAATTTCTATTGAAATTGAAATTCTTAATTTGGTGTACACATTATGCAGCTAAGAAATAATAAGAATCACCTGTGCATTTCCCCTCTTGTTAACCTCGGGAGCTGGCGATCCTGTTAGGAAAAAAATCAACATCAGTTTGCATACAATCAACATTGAACAATAATAGATATGAGTACGGCTTTTCAGCTATTATAGACAATAAAAGTAAAACACATTAATCTGCAGCACAATAATGTAGTTATCTTTTAAATGTTTTGCGGGAATTGTGGGTAGTTAACAGATGTTTCAAGAGAACTCTCACGTATGTCGTGTAAAGTGTCTGCAAATTTCCTACAGATATGATAAAACATACTGAACCTCTGGGTACATTTTGGAACAGGTCACTTAATTTTTGCAATTTCAGAAATGTAAACTTGGGCGATCTCTTTCCGTCCCCAAAATCTGTTAACTCGTGTAAATTCTTGCGATACAACCTTCTCAGAATAGCTGAAGTAGCTACAACTTCTGTTTTACGGGCGTTCACGCCCAAAATGTCCGCATGTATAGATTTTTTTTTTGACTTTGAGTAGCCCCTCTTTCGCTTAGTCTGTCGAGCGTGTTCGCAAATGAAGCACAAGAAAAGAGCGTTTGTTGCCCCCATGATTTCGCACGGCAATTTTTTTTCTCGCGGTTTTCTTTCGCGTCACACACGATGGACTCGTAGTCAAGATTTTTTTTAAATTGGCCATGCAGTAAAACAAAGGTCAAATTTTGCAGAAAAGTAAATAAAACTGGGGTCACCAAGCTCATTTTCGAAACAAGGCGCACTGAAGATCGTACGTTTTTAGAATTGGAATCTGGTTACCAGTTATCGGTTACCCATTCTAGAATTTCAGTTACCGGTTTACTGTTTGGATAAACATTTTTTCGATCCAAAACATCAAAATATCTATATCAAAGAAAGTGTCCAATTATAACTTGAAGAAACAACAAATAAAGCACTAAAATAACACGGTAACACTTGAGCAGAAACGCCCGAGGGAGGGAGAACTTCCATATAAAAGGACGCGGGTGCTCCACGTACATTTTAGGAGTTTATAAAACGTTTTTGGTACCTCTTAGGGTGTTCAGCCTCAAAAGGTCCACAGTGGAAGCTTTTGCGGTACCTTTTAAGGTATTGAGCCGGAAAAATATGACAGTAGATGATGTTTTGTTTTAGAATTGGTACCTCTTTAATAAGAGTAAAAAAATTTCAAGCCACGCCCACAAAACAGGATCTTGGTACCTCTTAAGGGTTCTTTTCAAAATTTCCGACGAGCACCCTCGTCCTTTTTATATGGCAGTCCCCACCCGGGCAGAAAAGGCTAAACATTTGTAACTTGCCACGTACAGAGTTTTTTCTGCTTTTTGTTAAAATGGAGTAAAGGAAGTGATCTACTATTAAAAAGAAAAGAGGGGATCACTGTTCATTTAAGAGAGTCAATTGCAGCCAAAGTTAGTGCACCAGGTGTCAAGCCCTATACTTGCTTTTAGTATCACCCAACTAGTGGACTAATGCAAATCCTGCATTTTAATTGGCTACGCTACTAGATGATAATAGTCCTCAAGTAGCAAAATTGGCGCTTTCTTTCGTTTTATTCCCAAATAAATATTTCTTCAACTTGCATTTGCTAACTTTATTATTGCCTTTTCTGTCCGGCTAGTTGGGTGATACTAAAACAATTAGACCCTTCGCCCNTTCGTTTTATTCCCAAATAAATATTTCTTCAACTTGCATTTGCTAACTTTATTATTGCCTTTTCTGTCCGGCTAGTTGGGTGATACTAAAACAATTAGACCCTTCGCCCTCAAGGGCCATGGGTCAATAGCCCATTCGCCTTCGCCTCATGGGCTATTGACCCGTAGCCCACAAGGGCTACGGGTCAATAGCCCACAAGGGCTACGGGTCTAATTGTTAAATAGTTCTTCTTTAGAGTGCGCACTTGATGTATAGCATGGAGTGACGTTGTGACGTGTATTTTGTGCACAGTAAGGAGGCGCAGTAACAATGGGCAGATTAACTGTATTGCATTGCGCATCCTTACTGTGCAGAATATCACACAATTAGCGTGCATAAACAAAATGGTAGCTTCTTCTAAATGGCTTGGCTTGGGAGAGAGAAATCATCTTTTTTCTTGGAAACGAGTAGCGGGACCTAACGATTTTTTCATTTAGTTTCAGTTTTTCTATACATTGAATATTGGTCAATTTCTATTGCAGAGTAAAAAATATCACTAAAAATGAGAGCATAGCTAGCTTAAATATAATCTGTGGCCTCAAGAATACTGTGTGCTTGGAACATACTGAATCCCTGGAGGAGGGACTCCAATATAAAAATGACGGGGGTGCTCGTCATACCTTTTAGCGGTTAAAAAAGCAGTTTTGGTGCCTCTTAGGGTGTTAAGCCTCAAAAGGTATGCAGCCGGAACTTTTGCGGTACCTTTTAGGGTACTGAACCGAAGAAAAATTGACAGGAGGTGATGTGTTGTTTCAGAATTGGTACCTCTGAGGAGTAAAAAAAGTTCAAGCCACACCCACAAAACAGGATCTTGGTATGAGCAAAGAAGGAACAAAGATGTTTTTAATAACTCAGGACCTAAGGACAGAGACATCGATATCAGAATAGCCCTCGACTCGATACATACATAAATACATACATACACTTTACTTCAACTCAAATTATCAGAGTAGCTCTATTGAGCTAATATCTTCGAGAAAGAATAAAATAAAATAAAAATACATAAATCAATTAAATTATTAAAATACAATAATTAAAACTACTAATACAATAATTATAACTACTACTAAAAGTTCATTTTCTTTATGACTGTCTTAAAATCTGTAAATAGGGTAATACTAAAGGATCGGAGATGTAAAATAAGAATTCACAAATGTGGACCTTGTAATACATATAACACGAAACAGGAGTGACCCTTTCAAATATCATGAGTTGGCTTAAAAACCCTCTTTGATTTATTTCAAAATTTAAGCTCTCTTGATATACGCAGCCAGTGGGTAAACTTTGAGGGACAATCTATTGAGTTCTATTTGTGTCCAAGTACACAACGCACGCATATTGTCATTCAGAGGAATTTACATTTGCAATAGCATTCACTTCTAATATAGGACATATAGCACTCCATTATGTCAAATGATAAATGTTGTAGATTTACTGTGGCATATGTCCTAATACAACCGGTCTGGGCCAACTTGAATGCTAATGTCAGCAGCTCTTGCATGGCAGTCGTTGGAACTTTTTTACTTGAAATTGAGTCAAGCTTTTCATCAAATTTAGGATTCTGCAATTCTTCATGAACGTGAAATCCCAGGGCACTACACAGGTATGCAACATTTACGACATCTAACGCTACTGAAGAATGTGACTCATTCATGCGTGGATTCAGCCATTGAACAGGGTGAAAACCTAAAATACCCAGATATTTCAGGTTTTATAGCTGCATAGAGTTAACATGTAGAGTCATGGTGATTCCATGTAGGTTTTTTGAAAAATAGCCAGATTCACTGGATTAGAGCATTGCCAAGATTTCGTGTGATACGGTAACCAACCATGGGTTCACCATGCCTCCCACAACTTTGGAAAGGGTGTGTACAATTAAATGTCATTTAATCATGTGCAACCATGACTTAACAAATATACTCAATGGGGAAGCATAGAGGACTGTGCTTACCATTTCCCAAAAAGTGCACCTGACACAAAAAAGAAAACAAACACGGTCAATCAAGCCCATAAACCACTATTTAGACTTGGTGTCTATTCATACTACCCTTTTTATGTCTCAGTATCATCATAATTTATTACTTATTATTAATTAGGCCTTTGACAATTTCTTCTCACATATATAATCTAAGCACAATAATTAATATAATATAATTAAAATACAGCACTAGCATCAAAATCAACTTACTTACTTAGAGTAACTATGGCAAATTTAGTTTGTACTTCTCTGGTCTTACTTGGAATAATTGTTTGGAGGAAAAATCAAAAAGTTCATCCTTCTGCCCCCTTAAGCAAGCTGTGACTAAACATTTCGTAATTATAATGCATAATGCTGGCTTAGTATTATTATTGTAAATTTTTGTTTGTTCCACACAAACCTATATCCATTAATTGACCACCTTATCATTAACTGGTGTGGTTAAATTACTTTTCATTTTCTCTTTTTTGTTATTCATTTGACTATTTGTTTGTATCTTGTTTTCTGTTATTTTATCTCTTAGATTTTTCATGTTGCAACCAAGGTAAAGCATATTATTTTTTTTTCTATTCACTCAACTTGTTTAGTTTTCTCAATCACTATTCTGAGTAGTGAGTCTTTTTGCCTAATTCATTAATTGTTTTTATGCTGTTTTTTCTTTTCTTGTAGATCTGGCAAGTTAAAATGGTTGGTTGTTTTTGCTAGGTTACCCACAGCATTTAATTTGCCAGTAACCATTTGAACACCTGGGTGGAGAGAAGCACTGTGAGAGTTAAACATATTCCTCAAGAACAGACACAACAGAATGAATCTGGTCAGGAAGGCTCAAACCAGACCCCTCAATTCAGATGGGTACCTGGGTTTAGCAAAATTATTTTGTGCTTATGGGATAGCAAAATGTAGCGAGCATGGTGTTCCCTTCCAGTGCATTTGTGTCCTTATTACCCGTGTGGCCAGTGGTGATACCAATTTTCTTACGTATACATCACAGTACCTCAGATGACCTGTTTTGTCTTTGATGGCAAAAGTCTTTCCATTACCAGCAACATTTAAGGATACTTGCGAGTCCAATATACCTAAACAACAAAAGTGCCTTTTCAATTATCATTGGTGTAATTAATTAATTAAATAAATAAATAAATAAATAAAAGAACGAAGAAACAAACCAATACATACATAAATAACTGAATAGCTATAGGAACTGCTGAGGATGATTTTTTCACAGGGAACTAATTTACAACAACCACTCAGGTTATTATAACTATTTAGTATCCAACAATGGTGAATGGAAAAATTTCTTTAACACATTCTTCAATCGACTAAGTAATAGGTACATATCAGTCTGATCTAAATTGAGTGATGGTATTGGAAAAGGTGGGAAAATCTGCTGCTTTGTTCACTTCTTGAGTTGAACAAAGCATGTCAAGAAACTGAGCAAGACGGTCCTAGTCTTCTGACAATTTCTCAGACAATCTGCTCTAAAGTTGTCCACATTCTGGAAAAGTGTGATAAACGAGAAGCTCTACAGGAAGATTCAAAAGAATAGCTTTGCTGAACATTGTACACCAGTTGTACAAGTCAATCAAGAGTTTACTTGTTAACGCACTGTGCATGGCACAACTAGAATCATCATCCAAAGACTGCAGCAACTACATTGCTCAGAAACAATCAAGTTCACTGAAGTATAAAAGGACAAGGCTCACATCTAAGGTAACAAACTTTACTAAATTACACAACACAATAAGCCAAGCAGTGTATTGGATGCATTAAACAGTTGTTATTAATAATTAACTAAATACTTTGATTTACTAAATAATTAATTTTCCAGTATCAAAACATTCACTACTTAAAATATAATAGAATAAAAATACTCCAGCACAAGAAACAAGTAAAGTGATAGATATATAAGATAATGCAGAATTTTTGCTAGTTAATAACATGAAATTGCATACTGTTAACGTGTTTTCAGTTCTAATTTTCAAATTATTTTTATTAGTGCTGTGCTATTATTCTTCTTACTATTTGGGTTATTTCCCACATTAGTTTGGTTTCCTTACACACCTTATTTTGGTATGTGTTGGTGATTCATTACCCCACACTTCTCTTAGCTAAATCCTGTTGTGTAGGAAAAGTTACCTCCTAGTTCCCTTGGGTAATCCTGCATTCGTGGGCAACAAATACACTTTTTTGCCTTATTTGGTTCAGAGTTATTTCTACAGTTTCCTCAAATCTGTTATAAATTGGCAACCATTTGCTCAGCAAATTCAGTTGATTCAGTTGGTTATTCTGAGCTATACTCAAGTTCTCAAGTCAAGCAGTGGTTTAGTTCAGATGCTAAATTCCTAATAACCCTTGGTATGTAGTGCATTATTCATTTTATTTGTACCTTTCTTTAAGGCTTAAGGTTTAGTCCGTTTCTTTTAATTCATTAGTTCAGTTAGCAGTCGCTATTTAGTTGTCTTTACTAGTTTTGTGTTTTTGTTCAGTATTATTCCTTTACCTTTCTTGACCTTTAGTCTAGCACAGCATGTAGCTTTATCTCTGTTCGTTTATGCTATGGTTTTTGCTAGTAAATGTTGTATTATTCGCCTACCACATATCCTTGTTGATTAGTTGTGATTGTTTGCAAAAATCCAAATTCATTTCTGTTCCTTTATGTTTTGTAGCATGTTTTTATTGCTGTAATTACTTGTGACTAGCTTGTACACAGCTTAGCACTATTGTGTAATCCCGTAACTAATGAACCCTTTTTAGTTCTGCATTTCATGTAATACTCTACAAATGTAGACAGTTTTTGTCACACAATTTCCTGTTTCTTTATTTTTGTCACGCAATCTTCCTTTTGCAATTGTCTTGTTATTTGCACCAAATTACTTTGTTATTTCTTAGCTAAGTTAGCTTATTATGCTTACTCTTACTCTTTATTAGCATTAGGCTTATTGTAGTTTATTGTATTTCATTGTTACTCGTTCCCGTTTTTTGTTCCTTGTTCCCGTTGTTATTGTCTCTGCTATTTTTGTCAATAAACTCGTAAATCATACACGCGTATCTGTCGCTGCTATGTCAACCGTTTGGCTGTCTTACATTAACATTGAAGAGTAAGAGAACATAATCATGCATAATTATATACGTACTAATCAAAGAAGCTGTCATTTGAATTGTCTGTACACAGTAACCAGGGAGGGAGAGGAGAGAGACGAAATAAATCTGTGAATGTTGCTTGAGCTTCAGCAATGCTCAAGTGTGTGGCAACCCTAAAAGCTGAACTCACGAAATGGCGGAAAATGACCCCAAATCCTAAAAGATGGAATCGCGGAAAATCCCCTGAAATCCTAAAAGATGGAAAATCACCCGAATTCTTAAAAGACAGAATGATGTAAAATCACCCAAATTCTTAAAAGACGGAATGATGGAAAATCACCCAAGATCCTAAAAGACGGAATGATGGAAAACCACCCAATATGCCAAAATAGGGAACTGTGAATACTGTAAAACAAAGCCACACTGAAAGGCTAATGCTAAGAGCCACAAATCAGTGAAAAATTGCTTCCCTGCTCACCCCCCCAAAAAGGGTTAAATGATAATTTAAAAAAGCAAAGTGACATTAAGCTCACCTATCCCCTTTTTGTGTTTTTTCTCCCGCATGAATACAAGTTTCACGTAAATGATCTTTTCTTCGGAAATTCCACGGAATTTTCTAATATCATACACAACATATTTTTTATTTATTTTATTTTATTTTATTGGAATGGTAACAACATACAAAGATACACTAAACAGAAGAAAAAAAAACTAACATCACTTATAATGATTGAATTACAATAACCTACACTTACACTAATTACTATACAGTTGCCCTACTAAACAACACAAATAAATGGTGTTTACAATAAATTTCTTGCACTTTAGCTGACAACGGTACTTATAATCAACTTAAACTGCATTTTGAATACATGATTTCTCTAGCTGTACTGTATTATTTCACTTATTCCTTAATATTCTTAATACGGGCAACACAAAACAGAACAAAACAACAAAAAAGAAAGAAGGGTACTCTATTTGTTTACCACATATCAAAACACCTCCTGTGTTGATTTAAAGGGGGGCAAGGGTGGTGGGAGGTCCATAGAGCTGCATTCTTAGTAACTTAAGATAACATTTTAATTTGAAGTTTAGAAGTGAGCTTTCTCTTTCACCCCTCTCCGACTGATAGTTGCAATACTGGTGCATATGTTGTGCGGCCGCGGCCTAGATACCACATTATAAAAGAAAAGATGCGCATGTGCTGTGCTTCTTCATCTCGTACCATGTTTCGGCCCACCACGTTTTCTGTTTTCTCTGCTCATTGAGAGAGTTTTCCTTCATTCACTGCGGTTTAACTGTCAGATATGACTGACAAAACCTCTCAAGATGTAAGTAGTTTCGATTGCACTAGTTTTGTCGTTTTGTTGACGCATTTATAGCCAAGGAACTGCACGAATTAAGGTACAAGTCAATGACCGCCTTCTGTCTTTAAGCTGACACTTTGTCACTGTCTGACCCGATCCATATGGTGGGCAATGGAGATAGACTCCCAGGCCTTGAAAAGTTAGTGGCAGAGTCTGTGGCAAAATCATTACCAGCGGTCTTGCAAGGTGTCCTTGCCTCGTTCTCTTTAATGGGACAGAATAGACCAAAGGATAATGTTGACATGGTGATAAAATCCACCGATGTAACGCCAGTGCCAACCACCTCTAGAGGGTATTGTTTTTATAATACATAACAAGAAACTCAGGACCTGTTGAGTTTCACAAATAAGGCCTTTTGCAGGTCCCTGTCCAAAGACAAGTGGAAGGAACTGAGCAATTCCTATACACAAATTAAAGACACAGAGTCCTTGCTGGTAGCTCCAACGATGGAGGCTGGGATGAAAGAGGAATTAAAAAAGAGGCATGGTTACACTAAAACAAAGGAACTCTTCAGCTTTGATGATGGCTTGGCTGAATGTCAATCTGCTTTCTTGGTTGTGGCTTGCTCCTTGCTAGCAGCCTTGACAGCCCTCGATAATTCAGGGGGAGAGGATGAGGATGACATTCCTGACCCTGATGCCATTAGGGACCTAGTGGAAGATGCTCTAGTCCTCCTTGGAAACGCCAACTTTAGGCTTAATGCCTGGAGGCAAAAACGCTTCTCTGAGTTCCTCACTGAAGTTGTGAAACATACTCTGCGGGAAGGTATCCTAGCAGATAAGAACCTTTTCCTGGAAAAGTTCCATGCAAAGATCAAGATTGAATATGACCATAGCTCAACTAATAGCAAGTTTATCAGCACACCAGCCTTGAAACACTCCTCCAAAGGACCACACAGGAGGGACCAGCCCTTTTGGGGAAACTACTGTACCACTTAAAACAGTTGAGTTGGAGGGAAACGGAAATGGGGATATGGCTCAAGGTTTAACCCACAGCCTCCCAAAAGGGCCAGAACAGCAGGATCCATCTCCCAGCAATGACCCCAAGACCAGCTAAAGCTGACTATCCGCTCTCATGTCTCGAAATGCTCACACCCCCCACCAATGGATCAGCAACTCATTTACAGTTTTTTGTTCAGAATTGGAAACAAATAACACAGAACACTTGGACTTTACAAACAATTCAGGGGTACAAGATCCCCTTTTGCAGGCGTCCCAGGCAATGGCGCATGAGAGTGAAATGCAACTCGGATGCTCACCATATGGAAATGGCTATCGAGGACTTGTTAGCAAAGGGAGCTATCCGGGAAGTCAAGCCGCAGGACGACCAGTTCACTTCAACCCTGTTCTTAGTGCAAAAAGAAAATGGCCATTATCGACCCGTCATCAACCTTCGTGCATTAAATCGGTTCTTGGGGAAGGAGTCGTTCAAGATGGAAGGACTGCAAGTAGTGAAATCTCTAATAATGCAGGGAGACCTCATGATGAAATTAGACTTGAAGTATGCATATTATGCACTCCCAATTCATCTCTCCCACAGAAAGTATCTGCGGTTCATCTATCAGGACAGAACATACAAGTTTCAGTGCCTTCCCTTTGGCCTGTCCTCAGCTCCTTGGGCATTCACAA